CAAACGTTCGGCCGCACTCTTGGCACCGGTATGTCATCGTATGGCTGTTCACGTGACTCGTATAATTGGCTTTCCATTTGGTCCTATACAGGCAGTCAGTGTGCGTGCATTGAAACCACGGTATGTTGGGAAAGGCGTCGGGATGTACTCGCACCTGGTGTTCGCTGAGCTCCCTTTCCGTTTTGAATGCTTTGTCGCACTCATTGACTGTACACTTAAATTGACGATCATTTGAGTGCTTCAGTGAGTGGTTATAGAGACTTGACTTCAAACCAGTCGTGTAATCGCATCCCTCGACATCGCACCGGAACTCCGTCCCATGTTTTCCCGTTTTGTGATAGTATAGGGACTCCGGACACTCGTAGACAGCGTCACAGTCGTGGGCATCGCACCGGAACACCTCTCCCGTGTGACTATACCTATGGTTAATAGCCTTTTGTCGCGAACTAAACTTCATATCACATCCCATCCAATCGCACGCAAACAGACCATCGGATGACTTCTTGTACTTCTTGTTGTGGTCAGCACTGGGATGGGCGGCGATGTGCTCCTCTAACTCAGCTCTCGATTCGGTCTCAAATAGGCATCCCGTGAGTCCGCACCGGTAGGCCTCTCCCAACACGTGTCGGCCATCAGCCATATGCGTCCTCCAGGCCCTCGCATTCGAGTAATGTTTGCAACAGTTCTCGTAATCACAATAAAATCTTTTTCCCAAATGAGACATTCGGTGGTCTTTCATAGCCTGGTAATCGAGGTATGNAATGCAAAAAAATTTGTTTTTAAACCGGCTATAAGTTTCACCGCAAATACATCATTCAAATGATGTTTATTATAGCTATTATCAAGCTATTAATTATTACATTAATTTCTCATAGAGTGAAGGCATCGGTAGAAAGTGATGAACAGAGGGCGGGCCATGGATTCAACGGAGGACTGGGAGGTAATAATTTCGGTGGAAATGGTATAAACAGTGGCGGGAATGGAGTTGGCGGAGGATTTGGTGGCGGACCTCATAATAATAACTTTAATAACGCCGGATGGGGAGCACCGGGACGTCCTAATGGAGGGCGACCTCCAGTAGTGTCTCAACCTCAATACCAGCCCTCCCGTCCCTCACATATACCCGCAAACCAAATCATACTACCGCCAATATACCCGGCCAATACACAGGGGCGCCCACCGTCAGTCCGACCACCATATAGGCCGCCCGTTTATAATCCATGGGTAAATCGGACAACAGTTGATCCACCACCAGATGATCCGTCAGACCCTTCGGATCCTTCAGACCCGTCTGACCCATCGGACCCCCCGTCCGGGTCCCTCTGTGTGTGCGACTGTACGCCCACTACGTGTCCGGTCTGTGCGGTCGGGCGTAAGAGGCGTTACACTCCCGACAACAGTCTAATCATTCAAACGCTTTCCAGACATAGGAGACAAGTGGTGGTCAACTGTTTCAGCGCCATCACCGCGTCATCCGTGTTGAGTACCGGTGCTCTGTTGGGGGCACTGCTGAGCACCTTATTGTCTAATTTGCCGTACATTTTGGCCACTGTATTGGCCGGTGATAACTCCCTCAACAACGCTGTCATCCCGTTGGCCAACACCCTGTGCTATGTCGTCGGACTACTTCTGTTGACACTCCGGAGTCTGGGTTTGTTGGGACTCTTGGGTATGAGTGGCCTCTTGCAGGACATACTGGGCGGCGGTATTGGCTGAGCACTGGTATCAACTCATTGTACAATTGGGTAGACATTATTACTATTCATGTGAATGTCTCGAAGATTAATTAATTAATTTTACATATCAATCAAATATTTTTTTTGTATAAAAAGTTTTATTAACATGATTTCAAATTGACGCTAAATTTCAATCTTTTACTTCATTTGAAATGACTCATTAAAATACAAAAAAAGTTGGTTATAATCAAATCAAAGTTAATAAAAATAAAAATTCATTATAATTTCTAAACACACTGTTTATGCACACAATAAGCAATGCATAGAATTTATATGAAATACAATTAGAAAAAGTAATTATTTTTTCAACAGATTCTCAAGGTTTCCGGTATTTGTCTACGCGTTGAGAGCGCCTCCATCTGAGAGAAAGTTAATTCCCGTCACCCATGAAGACTCATCCGATGCTAGAAATAGCACCACATTTGCGATGTCGATGGCCTCGCCCACCCTTCCCAACGGATACGACTGCTCCCTATATGCCAACAGGTCGTCGTACTGTTTGCGGGTCAGACCCATCGCTGTGTCAAAGTTGGTGCGCACGGAGGCCGGGCTGTTGTCAAATAAGGCATGGATTTAGTTATAAAACATAAATCTATGGATTATACTAAATTACTTGATAGTATTGACACGAATGCCTTTGGGTGCCAACTCTAGGGCCAAACATTTGGAGACCATGTCGAGCGCTACTTTCGACATACAGTAGACACTCACTTGGTCAAACTATTCATACAAATCAAGTTTTTGTTAGCTTTATAAAACTTATTTCGTTTTCAACTTATAATCATTACTGTGAGACAGACTTCTAGATTCTATCAAGATAGATTCTAGATAGCTTTATATATTGAACATGCTTATCAATTGTTTTATTTTCTAAAGGGAACGGTAGTGAAATGGATAGTAAGTACTGCTTTTATGACTTACGGGCTTAAGTCCGGCGATACTCGATATGTTAACGATATTGCCTTTAGTTTTCTCCAACTGTGCGACACATAAATGAGTCAAATAGACGACTGACCGCAGGTTTGTGGCCATCAAACTGTCGTATGTGGCCATCAGATCGGTGTTGTATATGGAGGTAATGGCCCCATAGCCCGCATTATTTACCAAAACATCCAGTTTCCCAAACGATTTGATAGTGGCGTCAACAAGTCTACGACAGTCGTCCTCTTTGGTCACATCCCCGACCACTTCCAGCGCTTTCAGGCCTTTTGGCGACACTTTCTCACACTCATTGGCCACTTGTGATAGGTTCCCAACATTTCGTCCGTTGATCACTACCTGTGCGCCACTTCTGGAGAACTCGATGGCAGTGACGGCACCGATGCCAGCGCTGGAACCGGTGATCAGCACTACCTTTCCCGTGAAGTCCCTATTATTAGGCATTATTTTTTGGGCTATTGTTTAGTCACAAAACTTTTGTATAACTAAAAGTCAGACAATTATTAGCGGGAATGTGATTATATTTGCTAGCCTAGGGTAGATTGTCTAGGATCAAGGTTATCTGGGATATATAAAAAATGTTGTATCATTGCGTGATTATATGTTAATTTACTGTAGATATTCGCATACCAAGATCAAAATATTTATAGCAAAGTATCAATATTTAAGTTAGAAAAACCTAATTAGTAGTAATAAGAAATAATTAGATATTTAAATAACTTCGTGACAAATAATGTGAATTATAAATTAGTGAGATACCTTTCCTCAGTCAGAGCGCCTACACTTTGAAATCATTTTGAATTGCTTGCAATATGTATTATAAATTGACGCAAATGATTGATTTTTATATAAATATAGACAACATTAAATTTTATACTAAATTTATATGAATTTTTTGAATTGCGTAAAACTTTTTTCAACTAATTTTGTGTAAAACGAGTCAATATTAGATACAATGCAGACATCTATTGCACGATACACTCAATCAACTCAACGTCTGTTTGTTTACATAGTTTTACACACTTTTCAAGTGGTCTCTCAAAAATGGGATCAATTTGTGGTGACTTTGGGCTCTTAAGCCGTAGACACTTGTGTTCAAAGATAACTGAATTGATGCGAGAAAACAATTGTTTGAAAACAGATTTATTTAGACTTCAATTGATGGCAAATAAATGCCACAAATATTTCCAAGACTTGGAAAATGTGTCCCAAATTACAGATGACTTCGACAGTGACTTAAGACAACAGATCCGCGATTTGATAGCAGTTAATGGCAATGAATATCACATCAATTGCGGGTTAAGTATCATTAGAGTAGAACCTGAAGAATATGAAGACATAAATAAAACCATTAATAATGAGACCATTAATGAGATAATGAATGAGGGATTCAATAATTGCGATGAAGACAATGGTAGCAACGGTTCCAGTGGTGATGATTCAGACCCCGAATGGCGTGCAGAGGGCGAGGAGGCAATGGACGAGCAAATTGTATGCGATTATCACAACTGCAACAAAGTCTTCCTCACAACCAAAGACCTCAAGAGACACGAGTCGACACATTCTGGCCGAAGATATTTCTGTGATTACGGGAACTGTTGCCGACATTTCTCGAACAAGAATGGACTGCAATATCACCAGAGAGTGGGTAATCACGTGTTGGATCAGCCGTTCATTTGTTGTCACAATTGGTGTAAATTTAAGACAACATCGAGAGAGGAATTGGAGACACATATCAGGA